ATCACACTAGACGACACATACATGGCAGAATATGATGCACTACTACGCAGACAGACTGCAGGACATGATTTTATGCACAAAACACAAAAACTCTCTGAAAAGGACAAGAGAGAGTTGCGACTGTTTTCATACAGAGTATACGTTAGCTGTCGACTGATCTAACTCTTCTCTTCAACAAGCAGTCATCATTCCTGTCTATTCAATATCATGCTTTGCCTCTGTCGGACTTAACTTTGCACACAGCAGCCTAAAAATAACATTTCTGATCAGCCAGCTTATTAAGTGACAGAATGACGGTAGCAGTCGTAGAATAAACATGCAGAACACTGTTTAAGTGACAGTAGACAGCAACACCAACTGTGCCTCCCGAGGATTGGTCATGGTGACATGAAACAGAAGAGTAACAGCATGGCTGCTCCTTAAACAGTCCGTTAGTTAGACTGAGTGGGCAATATGGATTCAGTCTTCTATCACAAAATATGGAATTGTACTATATAAATAGAAGGGCTCTTTGTCTCAATAAAGCTCTTTTTCACAGTTTCCACAACACATTAGCTCCATAGTGTCAGATCAATGGAAGAAATGAGGGACACAAACCCCATCAAAATGAATTACAACACACAGCAACGTTAATGTGTCTCTTCAGCAGTCAGAGTAAGTCCATCAAGGTGGGTATTCTGTCAGTCTTGTTATTAGGAAATCCCCTGCTTGTGTTTGTAGTGGTGGAGGGATTACTCACTGGAAGTGTGGAGACTTTGGTTCTTGAAGCAGCGTGCTAGGACCACCATCATTAAAGGGTTCCGTGACTACCTCAAAGCTACACAGACTTGATGTATTGTAATCAGAAGACAAAGGCTCAAGAAGTCACATGTGAAATCTTATAAACAAAACAGGTAAAAGGTGAGATTCCACATAAGTATATCAGTGGTGTAGTGACTCTGCAGTCCTTCGTGTGCATGTTACACAATGCAGCCCTTACATCCAGTAAGAACAGGCTTCAGAGCAAACCAAACTGATCTGTGAAGTACAGTACGGACTGAATTAATAGAGACCACTATGTTAAATAGGATGATCATCCATGTCAGATTATTACAAAGAGTGTCACTGATGTCTGGACAGGATTATAGTCTAGTTTGAGAGGGAATGACAACAGCCGTGAGCTAAAGTATCTAAAAATTATGACAAGAAATCAATTCCCAAGTATCAAAGAATAATGTCCGTTAATCCACCATACATCTCATGAAGTTAATGTATAGGACCACAATGAATAACAATGGAGGACCTGTTCCTGGTGTATTCATGTTGCATGAATTCACGTCCATCAATTATGATGCAACACACCAGGAATTTTATCTTTGACAACCAATAAATACCTGTGATTCAATCACTGACTCGGGGTGTGACCACATGAGCAACATACTTGAATCTTTCAACCGCAGAGAATTTAACCTTGAATTGTGTTTTTTTAGAATAAACTCATTAATGTAAGCTTTCCATTCCCATCACACCTCCTGTAACTTCTTATTATCGTTGACTGCACCCCCACTCTCGCACATTCTCTACCTTCCTTAGTCTCCTTCTCTGCATTTCTGTTTTCTAGCTTCTTCCCCACTCACTTTTGCTTTCTGTCACACACTATTCTGCTCTCCGACCCCCCCAGTCCCCTGCCCTCTGCATGGCTCACTTGCATTCCCTTGCTCACTAAAATATTCCTGTTCACTCTGAGCCAAGAGGCCTCTGCCACAAGCAGTCCATTAACCACTCCAGTTTCACGCTGGCACCCAGTCCTCCTATTCTTCAGCTCACAGTATGCTCTTCTTCCCCTAAGATGTAGAGGACAGGAAGCTGTATGTCTGTGTGTGCCTAGGTGTGCGTCTGTGTGTTGGGGGACTAGAACAGACATGCATAAAAAGAAAGAGACCCACTGTGCAACAAAGCACATTTTTAACTACTCCACTTGGCTCTTACTTGAGTCAGACTCTGTAAGTAAAGAGCTGTGACCCGACTGGCTTAATTCATGGCCTTACTTTATATCAAGCGTTTGCTGAGGTGCTTCCCCCAGGAAGTAGCGCACGGCTGCACAGACACACATGCAGGCACAAGATGTCATGCCTGAAGGAAGGTGCACTTACCTTTGTTATTAATCATGACATACACTAATATGTAAACCTGCATTCAACGCTTAAACCTGTGCCCAATGGCGACATCTTGGGCAGCACCCCGAAATACAACACTGCATACAATTCAGACAAACACAGAGGAAAACAACTGCCCAGTAATTTAATTGCGTGCTTTTGGTTGCTCTTGTCGTGCCTGATAATGTTTAAATATAGTCTGGTTCTCCTTCAGGGCTGAAACATGTATAGATTACGTCAGTTGAAGGGTGGGACCAATAATCAAGATGATAATATATTGTGATATGTTCTCAATCAAGACACTAACTCTGTGAAATTCTGTACCTACAAATCTGATTTCAATGTAGTGTGCTACAATCCATTTATTTATACATCTAAATGTTTTATTTCCATGCGTTTTATTATTGTTAATCCACAATATCATCATTACTGTCACAGAGGAGTAAGAAGAAATCACCTCCACTTTCATTTGTTAACACAAAAGAAGTTATCAAACCGGTAGGTTGAGGTTGCATGCATGAACAAGCCAGCATATTTCCCAACTCTGTGAATATTTAACTGGAGAGACAAACATGTGCTGCTTAAACACTTGTGTGACATAGATTCAAAACTTGCAAATCATGAAAACACTTAGAATTTTCCAAATTTCCAGAAGAACATGATCAAGATATTGGTTATTGGTCTTCTTGTTGACTCATTTCCCTGACCAAGGCCAGAAGAATATCTACTTTTTGCCCAACCTTTCACCTATAAAACAGATAACCTGACAAACTCTACACGCTGTCCCAGAGAACCTGTGATCTACGAGTGACCTTATGTCCCAAACCACTGTCCGAGGCAGTGATCCCTGGCTAATCCACACCGCGCCTGCCTGCTTGGTTGAGCCGGCCTGTTTATGTCAACAGCATCTACGGATACTTATCCTTCCTCTTTGGGCCTGAAGGACACAGATGGCGCTTCAGGGAGGAAGACACGGCCAAAATGACCTGCTTTTAAACTAAATATATGGATCATGCTCAGCTACAGAGGGATCTGTGAGAAGAGCAACTCCTGTTCAGCATTCCTGTGAAGGTTACATGTGTGAAAAAATAAACACCCAGTGTTTGAACTGAGACACAAACATGCTAATATACAGCAGGGACACATTCCACCAACACAGTTTACATGTTTTTGTGGAGTTGAGCTGAAGTAAACGTTACAGAAGGTGATTTTAGAGTTAACATTTAATACACTGAATGGTGATTGGGCAGAACATTAAGATACTTATTTTGGTGATTTAAAACAAAAGTACAAGGATGTCCAAAATGTGTCATGCTGCAAACATCCATAGAATTTGTCTAAATGCCAAATCTAGTTGATGTTGGTGACATTATTACAATAACGCATGTATTTAAATAAAATAAAAGAGTAATCTATGTGACCATGTCTAGAGAAAGAGATGATGACTAAAACTGGATAATGTACCCACGCCGCTTCATTCAGTCCCAGACGGCACAGTGACGAGAGACTCACACGAGGGTGATTTTGGGGGTTGGTATACCAAATACCAAGCTGGCCTGGAGACAATACACATGTCACCCAGTGGTACAGATCTTATGTTATTGTCACTGGTATGTCTGAGAAGCAGCGAAAGCAGAGAGTGATGAAGTCATAGATCCCTTAAGGCCACAGACATGTGTGGATCAAGTACACAGCGTACATAACTCTACACTGCTTCACCTTTGTCTGAACTCTGACTGCGGTGTTGTATGAAAATCGGCCAGAATGGGTTGAAATGTCAGAGTTAGTCGTGGACTGAAGTCGAGGACAAAGCAGACTAACCCCACTGAAATCAAATAAGTGAAAGAGCTGTATTGTACTAATTAGATTACACCATCAGGCAGAATGACGCTCAAAAAATACTCATGTACATTATCTCAGGACACATTGCACAAAGGGTTTCTGTCTGTGACTCATACTTACTTGTAGCCCTACCTAAACCTGTGTGTACTGTAATAAAATGCCATTCATCAAATTCTCTATTTTCATCTATTTATGTCTCTAAAATAAAGTGTGTGTGTGTAGTAATTGTTTACTCAGCAACCAGATGTGTCTTCTGTGCATCCTCTATGGTTACCCGTTTGTCAGAGGGTGCAATATCAGTTTTCCCCTGTTGCTAGATGTGGCCGAGGGGTTATGTTACACAACAGTGTGCGCTGGCTGATGACAGGCACAAGTACTGCTCTGCTCCCATCAAGACACCAGACTGAATCACACACGCTGACACAGCCAGGTAGCCTGAGACCACATGATGTCGTCACAATTAAGTCACCTTGAGAAAATACAACACAATGCCACACCTTACCATTGAAAGTTAGGTCACTTATTTTATAGTGTTTATGAGACATGCTGTACTATGTTTATACAATAGAAGCAATTTATATATATATATATATATATATATATATATATATATATATATATAT